AGAGAGAGAGAGAGAGAGAGAGAGAGAGAGTGTGTGTGTGTGTGTGTGTGTGTGTGTGTGTGTGTGTGTGTGTGTGTGTGTGTGTGTGTGTGTGTGTGTGTGTGTGTGTGTGTGTGTGTGTGTGTGTGTTGGCATTGTTGCTAGTGTGTGTAGTAAGGTAGGTTTGAGTTATTACTCTGTCTTTGTAATTATAAGAAGTTACTTTGACATTTAGAGGAGTTGCTATGATTTATAACTTGGGTTAAAACTATTATATTGATTACATGAGAGAAGTAATTAAGACTTGTTCAATGTAGGTACCGTTAAATAGACATCATAACACTAGTTCTTTAATTAATTGAGAAAAAAAACGTTTAAGCCTCTCTCTCTGACATACATAAACCCAAATTAAAATGTCATTGCATTTTTTATACCATTCAGTTTAATATACTTTACTGTCTTCTAATGTCTACTAATACTTCACAAACTCTGGTGGACTTCAAAAAGAGGCCTGGTATGTAGCTCTGGCCTATTCCAACCTTTGAAACCAAAAAAGCACAAGAAAAGTGGGGATTTATTTAAGATTTCTATGTAATTTGCGGAGAAAACTTTCGATTAATATTAACTCATACTAATGTAGAAGCCATTCTTGGAGTAGTAGTATACACATATTGCATTTTTTTATTAAATTGTGTTTTTGCACTTTAATGCATGTGATAATGTACAAAATATACGGTGCCTTTGACATAGAGCCATTGATATATACAGAACAAAACATCCCACTGATGAGCTGACCTATATGACTTGACATGTACAACATTTCTCATCATAAGCTATAAATATATTTTGCATGACCTCATTCAGCTCACACTGAGTCGGACACAAACATCAGACAGATCTTTCTCATACCACACATAACAGTGTCTTAGAGGAAGACTTTAAACACAGCTCCTAATGTCAGGGAATGGTGGGGGTTTATCAAAGATAAGATAGGCTACAATATAGTAGGCAGAAAGGAAATCCACTTTTGGATAGGTAAGAGGCCCCAAAGGGCAGGGTAAAAGCATGTGGGCACTGACAGGCGTCTTTGTGGCACTTTGTAGGCCGAGCAGCGGGGCAAAGCAGTGAGGAGGGGGCGAGGATGAGGAGGAGCCAAGGAGGCTGAAGTGGAGGGAAGAGGAGGGGTCATATATGTCCCCGGGCACACGTGTTCCCTTTCAAACCCTGTCACACTCATTTTCTCTCTAACACGCGGATGTGTGTACGCACGGGCGCACTCCCACACACACAAACACATATACACACACACACTTGCCCGTGCACAAACAGACATACAAAGGGGAATGAAAGGGAAAGGTGCAGTGTGCAGAGGGCGCGCCCGCGGCGCGGGGGGGGGGGGGGGGGGTAGCAGAGCGGAAAAGAGTGTTGCAAAGGGGAAACCCTGATTCAGATTTCCTATGTGGAGAAAAAGATACATTTATATCTAATTTCCCCTCCTAGAAAACACCCATACCAAAAAAATCCATAAAGAGAGGGAACATGTGCCTGAACCATATTCAGGGTAGAAAAAAAAAATCAATCACTGCATGGAGCTTTGTATAAAAAAAAAAAGAAAGGGTTTCTAGATTTAATTCCCTATGCCTGGAAATCATTCCCGGACATTCCCATTCCCGGGCTTGCATAGACAAAGGCCAGAGTTCGCTGAGGGTGTAGTATAAATGTATGCAGTAAATGCAGCCAGACAGACGACCCCGCCGCCACCCCCCCACCTCAAATCTTCCATCACTCACTCACAGTCCCTCTCACGCAAATTGGGGGGAGGGGTGGCCTGCTATACAAGCGCCAACGCATGCAACAAACACACATAATAAAAACACAACCTTACACGCTGACCTCCCCCCCCACGCCCACACACCACCTCCTTTATATTTCCCCAGCCAAAGCAACCGTCCACCTGAGCTCAACATTAATCCCAACCAATGTTATAAAAAGAGGGTAAGAGGACACAAGACATCCATAAAGACACTTTTTTTCCCTATGAATTATATCACCCCTTTCAATATTTCATGTCATCTCTTCATGGCGTCCCATCCAACACGGCCACCCAGCCAGGGAGAGGTCATTATAAAATACATGTTTGAATAAATCAAGCTAATATGCAATGCTTAACATGCCAGACGTATTGACTGCAAGCTCATGATGGTTCTTATTCATCTTTCATAGCAGGCAAGGACATTATCACGTCCTTATTGACTGCAAATGATTTGCCATTCACTTCCTGGGGAATGTTGAGAAGGTGGGCCCATTGTTTCTGACAGACATGGGCTCAAGCAACTGCCTGAAAACTACACCACAACTATATTTTCCAGGGTCACAACTCACATGTTACTTGATATTAGCTTTTCCACTCCTGCTTGGCACTTTCTTCTTCTTCTATGGTATAGTCTTAAATGTTGCCTCAAAGCTAAACATTGTTTGCCCTTAAGCAGTTTTTGGAGGGGTGGGGTTTGTCTAAGAAGGTACTGATATACGAAGGGCAGATGGGGTTTCCCTTCCTCCATCCGTCTGTCTGTCTTTACATGTACCTCTCTCAACAGATGGACCCAGGAGAATTCTGGGACGCTCCTAATCTGCTGTTCTGCATGCACAACTGCAGACACACACAACACCCATATACCTTCATACACAACTCTAATCTGTTTCAGTAGAACACAGCAGATTAAAGCATGTTATCCCCAAATGCTGGTACAGTAGGATCCTTTCTGTAATGAATGGTTGTCAACAAAGAGATCTTCAAAACAAGAGCATATCTGTACTTGACAAACATTCCATGCTCCTTTCCTCTTCCACTGAATATGAATACTGAAAATGTTATTTGGCACATTTATGGTTAGGGAGAAAAAAAGACTGATGGTTAAAAATATTTCACCATTACAAAATGGCCTGAAGTGAAAGCAGAGATGTGATATTTGCCACACTTATCTCCACCCTCAGGAAAAAATGACATTGGCTCTTGCACAACAGATTATGGGATAACTGTCTAACTGTCTGCACATTCCAGTGACCAGTGGTGAACATCTGCTGTCAGCCAGCACTGCAGGAAGACAGACATGCATTCAGTGATAAAGACTAGGCTGAAAGTTATAAGTGCACTTAAAGCAGGTCAGATATAAAGGGGTCATCCTTATTATGGTTCAGAAATGACTACCTCATATTATATTGATAATTTACTGTGAAATAAGGTAAAACAAAAATCCCAATTTTTCAATTTATTGCATATATTCTAAAAAAAAAAGCATAACAATTGCTGCTTAATTCCACAAATCAGAACATTAACTAGCAGATTCCAAAGATCAGACATTGGCAGTTTAATAATGGAACTTCAGGGAAAATGCACGCCCCCTAAATCTGTAATACATCCCAGCCTTCTTCTCCAAGCATGAAAGGAGGTCAATACTGTATAATAACATATTATAATCCGCGATCCCATTGTTTACATGCATGTAGCATCCGCAGCAAAAGCCCGAGCCGCGAGGCTAGCCAGAGTCGCCCTACAATGTCCGCTTTGTGACATTTAGTTGCCTTAAATTATCCATGCAAATTCTCCCATCTACCACTGACAAAGAAGCCTTCCATGCAAACTTCTGTCAACCGTGTTCGATAAGCTGAGTGTGCACGATGGCAACTTTCTGTCCTACTAAAACAAGAGACAGATATAGTGCGGACATTTACGCGCGGGTTGGAGATGTTTTCTCTGCATTTTGTGCACGAGTGCATGCTTTTATATTACACAACACAGCAAGAAGGCAACGGTACCTGCAGATAACACACGGAGACTGTCCGAGTCGGTGGCGAAAGTGTTCATTTTGAGGCTTCTATTCAAACGCGCGCTTAACCCTGTATAGATCAATCATTACATGTAATCCAACTGTACGATGGTTGTATTTAGAAAACCCTGAATGTACTTACGATTTTAGAGGATTATGAATGGCAGTCGCCATTTTTCCTGCAGGACTGTAACGTAATATTCCAAATCTCGGTGTAGTTTGGGACCCTTGTGAAAAAAACACAACAGCCAATGCGGTCCTGGGCACTGTGTGCTCCCTACCAATACAAGTCCGGCATCAAGACGTTAGGCGTGGCCTCAGAGATATCTGTCAACATCCATGTCCCAGTCTTTAGTAATCATATTATGAAAATAAAGGCATTTGTGTTTATTTTTAGTGAACATATCACAATTGGAAATAAGGATCAAACACTATTGAGCTATGTCATAATCTCCTCTTTAGTTGTGAGTTAGGGGTTTTGATAGCTGTGTGAAAAGTAATCCACCAGTAATCTATTTTTTATTCATTCGAAATGTCTGAGGATAAAAGGAAATGCACCTAGTCTGGTGATTACATACGTTGCCTTAGTATTTTAAAATATGTTGACTGCCATCAATCAAATGACGGCATGAAATAAGACAAATCCCTTTACATTATTATTCTGATGCGTGGCTGAAACGTTTACAAAGAAAACAACCAATGTGTAATTGCAACGTCAGGCGCTTTTGTTAGCAATCAGCCAATGAATGGCATTTGGAGGCGGGACAACATGGCCGGAACTAAATATACAGCAATTAGCCTGTTAGCTCATGTGGTCTTAAAACTGTAACCTAAACTCCGTTTATTAAGAAAATAAAGACTGTTTTCACTCAAAGGAAAGTGTCTTCAATAACATATCAAACCCGTCTTTACGTTTACTGTACAGCATTGCTTTAAAAGTGTCACAAAAGATGTGTAGTTCAGTGATGTTACCTTAAAATGCTAAAGATTGCCACTTGCTAACTTGGCTAACAAGTAAACATGCTACATCAACTAGCCTTACACACTCGTACACACTGAAGTTATTGAAAGACAGCGTGTGGCGGCGAGGAGCCTTACTGTTAGACCTAAACAGCAGGAATGAAGAAGTGGAACTGGAAAGAAGGACAGCGACCGTATAAGCGACGAGGTGGTGGACAACGCCATGGATGGTACAGGGGAAACCGGCAAAGATTAACTCAGGACGAACAGTCGTAAGTGATAGTAAATATTGAAGCTTTGTTCTGGTAAAAATGTGATATGTGTTCAATAGGGCAGGGGTTGTGACGTCAGTAAGAGACACGGTGTGTTGCGTTCACAGGTCTGGATATAATGAGGAAGGGCCGTCAATTAGACCACCTCAGAGGAGAAATGAAAACCACCAGTCCGCCTCTTCCTATTCCTCGTCTTCCTCCCCATCTTCTTCTTCTTCCTCCTCTAAGACCAGCAGTGCTGCACCAGGTGAGAACAACTGACCAACATCTTCCAAAATTGAAAAGCAACGACACAGAATTGTATTTGTTATTGGCAGTAAGCTGTCATTTTATAAAGAATTTATCAGAAAACACACAATCCTTTATATCCTTTATTTGGACTACTTGCACCTTACTACAGAAATATCCCAGGGATACATACACATGACACCTAACCTAAACAATCTGTATGTTATCTATAATACATGTATTTTAAGTATTGCAGTATTTGTATGCCTTGTCTTGTATCTTGTTTTTTGCAACTTCTGTTCTATGTACTGTGCTGCACTGTTAAAATATAGATGATAAAAAAAGTCTGTCTCTTATGAAAAGATAATTATTCTGTTAACAACATAATCATGGATGGCTGTAACTTGAATTACAAGAACAAAAGGTATCCATGCCTAATTTCATCACCCGGTTCTTTTTCCAGAGCTTCCTGGGTTCTACTTTGACTCTGAGAAAAATCGCTACTTCCGCCTGTTGCCCGGACACAACAACTGTAACCCGCTGACCAGAGAGCAGCTAAAGGAAAAAGAAAGAGAGAAAGAAAGAAACAAGATGCTGGCGGAGGATGAAAAGCCCAGGAAAGTAAGTCCGCGGAGAGGAAATTATGGCAATTCTTCTGAAGCTTTTAGCGTTTATGAGGTGGTTTTTCGTGTGCTTGAAGCTTCAGTTACAATTGTTTCCCTTAATGTGTGGGTTTGATTATTGATCATGTATTATCTTCTTTATAGAAAGCACCAAGAAAAGGACTGAACACTTCACTTCTGCTGCAGAAAAGACACCTTGGCATGTTACCTGAGAACTCGTATTGCAGGTATCGCATCGCACTGTTCTCAATCAATGTTGAACATTGAGCTGTTTCTTGTATCCTATCCACAGCTGTAATACATTAGAGAGAAAGAAACCAACCAAACACAGTCAAACTTGAATGATAATCAGTTCTGGATGTGCTGAGGGAGTTTTCTTTGCGGCATTGCCGAGCCGCTAATCATGATGCAAATCGTTTTTGACGAGTTGGAAAACAGTCATAGAGGAACATGCTATAACTTATTTAGGATATTGTGCTGCCTGTCAGTTGTAATTGTAAGAATTAAACTGACACATAGTTGTAACCCAAATGCAATTTAGATAAGTCTTTTTGCTTAACATTTCCATAAATACATAAAAACATGGATAAGGATTTGCAACTAAAGGTTATTTTCCTCATCGATTAATCTCCCATGTATTTTCAAGATTGATCAATTACTTATTTGATCTACAAAATGTCAGAAATTATAAAAAACATCCATCCTGGTTTCTGAAGGTCTAAGTGTCCAAAACTCAAAGATATTCTTCTTAAACATTATACAAAGCATAAATAATCAGGTAATGATATTTGAGGGACTGAAATTTTAATTTTAGGCCAGCTTTGCATGAAAAATGTACTTAAACCATAATCGATTATCAAAGTAGTTCGCAATGATTTTTCTCTTGATCGATTTATCAATGAGACGATTTATAGTCAGTTCTAACACAGGCATTGTCAGATGGTGGCGAGGAGCAGAGTTATTGATTTAGTTGAGATGATTGTCCTTTCATCTTACCGTGGTTACTGTGTGTCTCCAGGCTGGTGCATGAAGTGAAGGTCAGTGGAATGAGACGCCACCAACTAGAGATCCAGAGCACGGACAACAGCAACCCCAACACAGACAACTTCAGACTCATAGTGGTGAGAACACGCACACGCACACCACACACTACACACCCAACCCAGTCTCACGGCATTTCGTGTTATAGTCACGACATTTAATCTATTGATTCGTGTTCACCAACACGATTTTCCCATTTTTTACATGTCACACAGAACGATTTTAAAAGCAATGTATTTCTATAGGTAGTATGTTTCGTGCCTGCACCACGTCTTTTTGTCCGGTCGGGTGTTGGAAGACCGGAAGCTGTGTGGTTCATAAAAACATGTTCTTACTCAATATCAAGCCACGATTATTGTTTTTATTTTAATCCGTATAATGTCTGACTTTTTTTGCCGTCCGTGAGGAAAATAATTGGGGCTCAGAACCTCAGAAAACTGAAATCTGTATTTTTAAAATATTTTTTTCCTTCTAATTTGTTATTATTTTCTAAATAACACACTGTTATTTACTCAACAACAACACACAATTATCCTTGTTTTTATTTATTTGTTTAATTCTATAATCTCGGGCTTTTTTGGCTTCCGTCAGGAAGTGAATTTCAAAATAAATTAACAGGAAACAGACGTAGGCCTATATGGGACATTTCGAGCATCATTGCGATACACAGCCACTGAACTGATTAACCAAGGTCCTCAGTTATGGTTTAAGCTCGCTGATTGGATTTTTTAGCCGCTATGCATGTTGGGATATGGTGTTAATGCGATATGAAATGTGAAAAACATTTCGGAGTTTAGGATGGCCGAAGACACTACACACTACCCATAATCCTCAGCTATCGTTTGGGACTACAGTCCCCGTGATTAATCTTCAAGCTCTGGGATTGGATGTGGGAGTGGCAGTGCGCCAAGGTTATGCCGAGCGTCAAACAGCTGTTTGAAATGGAACGAAACCATGGCGGACTATCCAAAACTGGACTCCAACGAGATGAATAACTACACATGCTGGCTTTTGTGCTTCGCAAAATGTTCTATGGGACGTCTCTACTCGGAACATTTTCGTTTTTCCCACAATTAGAAGTTGCCAGTATTAAACACATTGGTGTTATCAAATTTAAAACATATAATTAATAAATGGGTGAAAATCGCTTGTGTCCATAATGGGCAGCATTAATATATACCCACATGACAGCTCATTGTTACTTTTTAATTCTACTCCACTGCAATTCAGAGGTTAACCTGATATTCTTACTCCACTACATTTATAACTTTGCAGATTCTGATTAATGATGTGCAATATAAACAACCCTTAAATCAGACTTTAGTTACACCTGATTAAAATTCAGGGAAGGTGATTGTCAAGTGCCAACAATCAGGAGAGATATTTGATAGTTGGTGCTTGAGAAGACTAGATCTGCAGATCTCTATAAAGTATATTCATTACTCGTTATTCTCTACTAATAGTTCATTAAAGACTGTATATTATGGCTATTTTGCACATCCCTTTCAATATTTTCAAAGGTTTATCTTTATTGACATATCATATACACAACTACGTTGAAGTTATGCAATGAATGAAGAACTTGGGTCACAGGTTCCTCAACAGTGCATTACAAGACATCTATCAATATGTGTGTATATATACCTCCACCATTAAACTGTCATATTCTGCACATTTCTTATACTATCTACATACATAAGAGTACAATTAATGTGTATAATATCAGTTAAAATAAGTGCTTCAACATAGTTAACATCGCAGGGAAGCAATATATTAGACGTGAAGTACTTTGTCAGGCTTAATATTTATCTGTAGATACCCCCAAAGCTTTTTTCTTATTTGAAAGAAGACCTTAACCTAAAGTATTATTTAATGTGTTAATAAAGGTTAATTAGTTTGTCTGTTTTGCACATCCTCATATTAATATCTTTGTACATCCAGTACTAAACTGTTTTATTGTAGAGATCACTGACAGTATCTTTCTGATTTTTTATATTCTATATTTCTATCATTGACCTTCTACTTTCCCCCTATGAAAGTATGTACTCTTAATATTTTTTTCATCAAATAACATTATTCAACAAAAATAANTATGTATGTATAACATCTGAAGATGTGTAGTTTTATTCATGTTTTTACATAATTTTACAGGATATTGCTATA